AATACAAGGTACTGGGGTTGCTAGAAACCAAAACAAGGGCAAAAAGTATGTAATAGGCACCTAGTTAGAAAGGTTGGTGCTTGAGAAACATCTGTAAAACGGCAGCATCCCAAAAGGTAGCATAAGATACGAATACGGAATGGAAGATTAATATGTACTAATTAAGAAGAATTTATAAGAACAAGCATGTGAATACATGTGTAGAACATGTACCACTATGTTAGGTTTATCTCGAGGATAGTTAAGTGTCCTAAGATAGAGTGCAAAATCTAGATTGGATAATGCCAAAATCTAGTGTATAAATAGTGAGGAAATCTATCAGGTTAGAGGGTAGATGGAGGTAGTTAGGACCAGATAGTTTAAATGGGTACCTCCCTAGTTAGGGTGCAGATATGGCAGATAGTATAGAACCTTCAGGCGGACTACTTAAATAGGTACTCAAAAGATGCATATGTGGCTTGATGTACCATTGTTGTAATTATATATAAAACTCTATCTATACTTTAATAAAAAGTTTCCCAGGCCAAAGAAGTAATGGTACCCAAGTGTGATCTGCCACAGCGATAATTCACTTCTCTCTGGCATCTAACTTACTAGATAACTTCCCAAAAAATCACTAAAAGCTTATTGCTAGCTTTGTCAAGATTGTCTTTTTCTTACTATTTTTCCTTCTTCAAAGGAGTATACAACAAATAGGAGTAAGAAAACAAAAAATACAAATAAAATGAAAATAACAAAAACAAAGGGGAAAAAGAAAAAACAAAGAAGAATATAGAGAAAAAAAAAACAAATATGAAAGGAAATATAAAAAAAAAAATTACAAAGAAAAGAAAATAAAAAAGACAGTGAAAAATTCTGTCTTTTTAGTACTACTATTACCTGTACTAGGCTAAAAAAATTATATAACAAATATGGTATTTGTATATCTCTAGTGTAAAGCTTTGCTTTATTAAACAAATTTTCTGACTAAATCATCCGGATTCCTAAATGATGTAAGCAGCCAATCTCAGTATTACGTGAAGCAACACAGTTTATAAACAAAACAAACCAGATATATGATCGCAGTCTGCCAGAACTGTTCAAATTTGGAAGGTGTAAATAATACTGATCTTTTAGAGGGAGTAAGCTACTTTTGTAAGAAATTTTGAAAGAGTGGTGAGGAGGCAAAGAAAAGAGACAAAACCACTTTGTTTTATTTAATAAATGTGTATTTTCTTTACTCAACACACTGAATCTATAGGAAGACACTGGTACTCTTATTATTTTTTCAAATAAGTAATAAACTCTGGGCTTGTTGGCAAATAGTATATGAGAACTATTTCTAAACAACAAGTGCCCGGCCCCAGCAGTGAGTGATAAACTCTGAGGAAGTTAGCAAATAGTATATGAGAACTATCTCTAAATAATAACTGCTGAGTTACAAAGCTTAAGGACTACTTTTCAGACTGTTTCTACCTTTACAAACACTTGTATTTTTTAAGAATTTTAGATTTTTGTAGAAAAAGTGATTAATATTTGTTTTATTAATAATATATTTAAATTTTATTGTTTTATTTTTAATTTTGACAAAAATATTACATTTTTAATAAAACTAATTTTTTGACTTTACTATTAAAATTTTAAAATATTTTTTAAATTTTTATATGTTTTTAAAAAATATATATACTTAGTAAAGTTTAAATTTTGCTTAATAATTTATAAAAAATATAAAATAAAAGATATTTAATTTTAAATTCTCTACAACTTTTTATTAATATAGTAAGGGTTAAATTTTAAATTTTTATTAAATAAAATTTAACAAAAAAAAACTTTTTTAAAATTAAATTTTTTTTAAAAAATTATAAAATTTTCTTTTATAAGAAGCTTCAAACTTTTTATAAATAATAAAAAGATAAATATAACTTTTAGATAGTATATAATTGTAGTTATTATTTAAAAAAAATTTCTTTAAATATTTTTATTTTTAATAAAAGCAGATCAGACTTAAATTTATAAAATTTTAGCTGGACGGTTTAAGGGATGATCGACAAAATTTTAAAAATCTTACATAGTGGGCCAATCATATAATGCTGCACTATGATAGTAAATCTGATTTCGGAATCTCAAAGCAGATATTGGAATTTTTAAACTCCCATTTATTTTAATTCCGAATCACCTTAGTATTCTTTACACACGTACAAAATATAAATGTGAAGTAAATCTTTATGAACTTGGTTAGAGTTGTTATCGTTTGGATGTTCCAGATTCCTATTACGGTGTAATTTATTCTTGTATGTTATAATGTCTCATGTCTGTAGAAAAAAAAAGCCAATGGAATGTCAATCATTCAGACCACAATCAAGTCAATTTGACAATTTTGCTGGTGAATCGTGGGTTGACTACCTGGGTGGTCATAGTTCACCCACCACCCTCAAATGACCCGAGTGATACTTACCCAGAACTTCGAACGATAATGAATGCAGGAATGTTATACGAGTTGATCACGTAAATGAGTAGCAATATTTGCTCATCGGTTTGCAATTTTCGTGATTAAATAATAACTAATGTTATTATAACATATCGATAACAAGATTATACATATTTACGCCTATGACGATCAAGTTAATGTTTGATTATCAATTCGTTTGCATTAAACTTTCTGATGTTGGTACGTACGTTCCAAGTTGAAACTAGTGTGCAGGCAAGAAAGTACATTGCTTAGTTCTCATGGATGATTTTTGCTTTATAGGCTTAAATAAATTCTCATTTCTAAAACTAGTCCAAATTCCATAGATATATCTTGGTATTAGAGAAGGTAATTTACCTGGTCAGAGAATTATTAGTTTCGATTTCTCATTGAAATCAATTACTCAAGTCAGCAATATTTAACCAAATATAAACAAAAGTAACGCATCATTCAAAACCAAATTTTTTATTATTTCAAGGATACTATTGTGCCTTGTACTCTCTTCATTATGGAATGTTGTGATTTTTATTTTGTATGATATGATCTTACGTGCAGTATGTGTATAAAATTCTTTGTTGAATAACCTTTTTGACATAAACAAATAAATATAATTAAGAAAAAAATGTATATCGTCTAATCACGCAAAATCATTTATAGTAAATGTTAAACATCAACTAGATTGATTGTTCACGCCATAGTTTAATGTAAATATTTGAGCGCAAACAGGTTTATATAGTAAATTTAAAATACTTTTTAAATTATTGAACCGTGCACTTTGTGCATTGCTGTTTTGATTAGTGTAAAATTAAAATAAATACGTAGCGATTTAACCATATTCTAATAATTTAATTAATAATGGTACCTAATATATATAAATATATGAGTTCAATCAATGAAAAACCTGTCATAGAGTCAATCTATTTGGTTTGTGTTTGGTAAATTATAAACAAAACTCAGATGACAGGCTTTCCCTTGGTTAGCTATAACACATTCTATTTTTAGGATTAGATATATACGTATTAGATTTTGATTTTATGTACAATGCTCAAATAAATATATAATAAATAGCTTAATTGCTAGTTCACAAAAAAAAAGAATATTAACAGGGGAGATTTTTATAATAAAATATATATAACAAAATATATTAAATAAAATAACTAACTTTTATCTACCAAAAATAAATTTACCAATCTTACTACAATTAGAACCACAAAAACCAGCTCTAAAACCTTTATTAAAAGTTTACAGAATGTCAATTAAAATTATTTATTAAGAAATGACGATTTAAAATTTTATATACGTACCGTATTGTCGCGAAATAGCGTTATTTAGAATAATGGCCTGAATTAAGCTTAATTTAGGCCAAAATTTGAAATTACACCCTTGTGTGTTATTTCGCGACAACACGGTATTAATAGAATTATAAGAATTTATTAATACTATTTCCTTTCGTGAACTATCAATTAATAAAAATTTTTAAAATTGTTTTAATATCAAAAGTTATATTCAAGATTTTTATTGGAATGAAATCCTTTTCGACAACTTTTGAAAAAAGCTATGCTTACGTACAGTACCATAGCGCAGAAAAACATCCAGGGGTATAATTTCGAATTTTGGCCTAAATTCGGCCCATTATTCGAAATAACATTATTTGGGCATTATTTGCTACTGCATGAAATGAAATAAACAAAAAAAAGTTTTTTAATTCATTTTATATAACTTCTGAACTTTGTCAAAATTTTTTTTACCATATATCAAGGTGCCTCTTGATAAAGAGCCTACTAGTGATAGGGTGTAGAATTATACATGAGTAAATTTTATTTTACATAGAGTACGACTAGTTATATATGCAACTTTAGTTAGGGGTCCCGACAAAGACCATGATCCGAATTGATCTTTTGAACTAGTCTGCGGCCCATGAATTAAGACTGGCCTAACTCAGTCTATCTATAGTAAAGATATTAAGTAATTGCGCGACATTAGTTAGAACCAGATATGCATAATTGAATACTATGTTAAGGGAGATTAAATTCGTGTTTAAATAGTAATAAGAATATTAGAATTCTCAATTAATGTTATGTTATTATCCATTTGAAGTATTATCCAAAATCATTCTATTATTTAGCTTAATCTCAAATGACACTATTTGACTGTCATCTTGTTCGATGAATTATAAAATCAGCAGATAACACTCATCATATAGTGACGAATTAAATATTTGTGAGGTGTTTTGGTCGTGATAACGGTCCAAATATACCCGAAAGGTATTTGATTCATTTACTTCTATATCCATAGTATTGTGTCAATTTTTTGCTCTCATACGATAATGTTGTCGTTTGACGGTTGTTACAATCATATATATTGAACCTATTAAATAATACGTTGTTGTGAAAATTCTAGACATGGATGTGATTGTGGTTTCTAGCAAGAGAATTAGGTATCTATTAACCCTGCCAGAGTCAGGGCTTTTGGTGTCTGCCAGGCGCTCCCAGTAATATACATAAAGAGTCCTAGTACTGTAGCAGGAATTTATCGTTAGGCGGTATTACGTCTTCTATCTAGGAACTAATGCAAGAACTTCCTTTAGGTTTATTAATTCTACCCAACTCCTTCCATTCAAGGGTCTGGGATTCCCAAGCGTACTTTCATAAGGGACGTCGTTTTCCACGACTCCATTTACTATGAGTTGCTCAAGCCTAAAGCCACTTCACGTCAAATAGAGGCTCCTTCAAGTATTATTTCAGGCACGTTACATTATATCCAATTTTTTACTACGTCACGAGTATATAATAGTTGTCCGTCCTTATATAAAGTCGACTGACTATTTACAAACACGATTTTTTAATCGATTAACCAGCTAATCAACTAATCGATTATAGCTGTTTTTTCATAAATTCAGAGACACTTAAAGAATTGTCAACGACCGAATTGCTTTCAAGAATTTATGAAAACAGCTGTAATCGATTAGTCAACTTACTAGTTAATTAGTCGTGGTTTTCAAAATTTCGTGAAACCATCGAAAAAAAAAGAAATTAGAAACACTAAAAATTGAGTGATCTCTTAACGATTTCTTTTTTTTCGACAAAATTTTGAAACCCAATAAATCAAATATTAACACATCGATTAAAAAATTAATTACATCAACCAACACATCTTAAATAGCTTGATCTTTATAATCGTCGACCAAACCTACACGAAAAGAGAACGTGATATTTATGAATTTGAATGGTCTTTTATATTGAAATTTTGTAGATTAAAAAAAGAAAGAAATCACTCGACTGTTAGATGTTTCTGATATCTCAAAACTACTCAGATATGATAATTTCATATCACTAAATCTAAGAATCCGAGTGAGTTTTTTTTTTTTCTTGACAATCTTTAAATTTCACAAAATTATGCAAATTGATTAGTTGAGAGAGAGGGACATGGTCAACTATAATCGATTTTTTGAAAAATATTCGACCAACGAATCGTTTGCGTTTTTTGTTTCTAACCATACAATGGCTATAATAATATGCATCAGGACTATAGATGCTTGACGAAATATTTCGCCTGACGAAATCATAAGTTTCGTCATAGTTTCGTCACTGACGAAATGACGAAACTATTATGTTTCGTCAGGTCACGTGAGTTTCGTCAGGCATCATTAATCAGGACATGAAAACTCAATGTTCTACATTTGCAATAGTATTCTCTGCACCCTTCGACTTTTGGTATAGAAATCATTACTCACTTAAGGCTTCTTTAAAGAGGTCACCATTCCGTTGTTCATTCTACCCTAGAGGTACACCTTGTTCCTATATTTTTCGCAAGGTTAGAAAACTCGAAACATCGAGCTCCAAATTTAAATTTTTATGAACGGCATAGATCCTCTGAATTTTCTCCCAACATAAAATCGTAGTGCCGTGCAAACCTAATGGTTATTTCACACTTCCACTTTTAATGAGTTTACATTCTATTAATATAGGTATCCTAATGGTGAATAGTTTATTAGCTTCACAATAATCCACCAACTGCCACAGCTTCTCAATGGGCCCAATTCCCCAGTTTCAGCGTTCACTTGTTAACACATTTATGAGTTTAGGAACTCAAAGTATCAGAGCCTATTATTATGTAACGGGTTTAATTGGCTGATGTAAATCAATTCAAAAGTACTTTTTAAGGACGTAAAATTACACAAGCAAAAATTCGTCGCAAATATCATTTCTAGCTACAGAAGAGTGCTAGAAAGTTAACTCTAAAATTAATCTTTTATAATCTCATATTTAGAGAAGTTAGCTTAGACGCAACTTTCTGAACTAGGTAAAGATAAAAAAGGCTTTGTTTGAATTTTAACACGCATTAAAAAATAGTTACTAACGAAATAGCTGGTTTTTTTTAAAGATCGGAATTTCAAATTTGGTTTTTGAAGCAGAATAAGCTTGTTAGCGGTGTTAGCAATAAGAAATTTAGGGTTAAGCACTCTAAAATTCTAAAATTGGGTTGGTTTTTAAGTTTGGTTTATAGATCGTAGTAGAGACTGGACTCGAGTCAATTCGTAGCTTAAAAAACATAGTCTTAACTCGAATTAACTCGAGTCAAGACTATGCTTAAGCCACGAGTTGACTCGAGTCCAATCTCTAAATCGTAGATATGAGTTTGGGTTCTTAGATAATTATGTAGTTAGATTTAGTAAATTCTGGTTGTTTTAGTAGTTGAACACTGTTTTTACTACTCTTTACATATATTCACCTATCTTATATATATATATAATCAGTATTATTACCGATTCATATATATGTAATATTGTAAAATAACGAATAAAACTTGGGTAATTTGATTGGTTAATAATCACATGTAGATTCGCAAATCGATCCAAAAACTAGCCAATCAGACAAACCTCTGTATAAGGGGACGTCCATAATTTACGTTAAACCGGCATTGTTATAGTGATCTTAAAGATAATACAAAGATAATGCGATATGGAATTATCTTCAAGGTCTCTATTTTTATACAATACGGTACTGGTTTAACGTAAATTAT